TATTTTTGGGTAAGAATAAGAAGCACTTCATCCGGTACTTAGTGCCTTTCATTCCATCATAAGAAAACATTTCTGGAATCTGCATCTGAAATAGAATTCAGTATTTACACAGTTTAATGTAGCTCAGAGGGGACATGGATGCATTTAAACTGCAGTTACAGATGCATAAATAATGCTTTATTTTAAACATAAAACGTTGAATACTGATATTTGAAATGATTTAAAACATGAAAAAATAGTCAAACTGTTAAATTAACACCGCCAGTAGGTGACAGCATTCATTCAGGAACAAAGCATTTGACTGTGTTAATGAGTGAATCACTGAATCATTTATTCAACTGATTCATTAAAAAAGCTGATTCATTCAATAAGAAAACACCATCCTTTGCTCAGAGATGCAAAGCAGTGCTGTGATCTTTGTTTGGAACTATTTTCGTTGGCAAAATTGAGCAAAGAATATAAAAAGCATATAGAAGCATTTTTGCCATCATTTAGAACGCCTTGAATTTTGAGTTTTAATAAATCACGTGCATTGGCGATATACTTGATAATGTCAGATCGCACATCATTACAACAACACTTACCATATTATCGCAGAAGATATCCAGTATATCGCACACCCCAGACTCGACTTGAGTGGAAAATGAATCATCCGCGGTTGTGCGCACACTTGTTTACACATGAGCAAAAAGGTGTTTTTAGGAGTCTAACTTGCAAACGCCAGACCACTGATTCGTCAAACCTGCTTTCCTGCAGTCCGTGTTCTTCTGACTTCTGACTATTTTGTAGTAAGTAACGAAATATAAAATGGCTGAAATATAAAAACGCAAGTAAAGTACAGATACTACCAAAAAATACTTAAGTACTGTAACGAAGTATTATTACGTCATTACATTACACCACTGCATTTTTCATGTACATGTTATACCCTAATGGCTTTCTTTCATGTTGTAGACCACGAAATAGCAACTGATTTACAGTTGAGATACAGGTTTTCACAAAAACTCGAGTATTGAAAAACATCTTGTCGTTCGGTACCAAATTTCAATACCTAAGGCGTTAATCTCATCAGCGTCAGTGAGCCAATAAGCCTGCAGCACTAGACGTTGTGTTCGACTAGAAGAGGTGCGACGCGGCAGATCGTTCAGTGTTTGACATCCGCGAAAGCGATTCGAAAGCGCACGGAGCAGTCTGCTCTCTTTAGCTCTCGTGGTACTGTAATACACAGATCGGTCTGCACAGTCAGTCCGCGTCAAGTCGAACACATCTACTAGTTTACACCGGTTACACTCAGAGATGTGATGCACACGTGAGGCTGTAGTGCGAATGCGTCCCAGCCCCCTTAGATGTAAGGCTACATTTACACTGGTGTGGTATAGAAATTCAGTAACCGGTATCGATACCGAAAATTTTTGGAAAATACCCAGCCCTAGGTCTGAACAGTCTGAACAAACTGGATTAAATGAACATGAACAAAATGAACATTCATTCTCTGCCAGTAGGAGGCGCTTTTGGAACGTCAGAAATATAGAATGAGAAAAGATTAAATATAGTCTATATTGACGAGGAAAGTCCACTGATGAGTTACCAGCGTAAGCCTGTGTGCAAATACATTTATTTTTAGTTATTTTAAGTACAAATTTAAATAAAACTGAAAGAATAATGAAAAGACACTCTTCTTCCACTCTCTTCCATAGACTGTAGTGGGTTTCTTAGCCATAACTTTTGTCGCCAAGGATTTTCCAGAGATTTTCAGTTGGGTTTAGATCAGGACTCTGGACCGGCCATTATTTCCATTTATTATTTCAGTGTTCTTGACTTCAAGGAACTGCTTTACCTGTTTTGCAGTGTGACGGGGGCATTATCTTGCATGAAAATTGCAGGCTGATTTGGGAGATGCTTGCAGGGAAGGAACCGCATGTTGCTGAAGGAGATTCTGATAAACATTTGCATTCACCCTGCC